GTGTGTTCGCCGAGTTGGGCCTGAGAGAAGAGAGAGCGATCCCGAAAGAGCACAATGCAGTCATCCCAAATGAGATTCGCAGACGTCAGGCAGAGCAATGGTCGAGAACGGGTCCGACGGATGAGCGAGTGAGGATCCATTGTGAGCGAAGAGACAAGCATTGATGCTAGTTAGACAGGCGCATTACTGGGTTTGAGAAATGGCGAGATCGGGGCTAGAGGAGGAAGCGGAGGTAGACGGGGGCGGGCGCGGTGATGGAGATGATGATGTTGATTGACGATGAAATGGGCTCTCATGGGTGGGAGGACTACATACCTGCACGGAGTACCGAGTACTCATTATGGTCGGTGATGGTGGTGATGAGCCGGAGTTGTCACTCGTCAGTCGATCGTCAATCGTCAATCACTTCCCATCAACGACTAGTTGGAGCCAAGCAACAACAACAACAACAACACAAATACAAATCATCCACGGCGATCACCCTCAAACTATGATCTTGCCCTGACAGTTTCAAACTCTGAAGCACATGATGGCAACATGTTACCCCGATGCAGATGCGGTGATGGCTTTTTCAGCTGTCCAGTGCAATGCCATGGACACCCATCAGCCCCCGTGAGAATGCGGCGCCCATGACGCCTACGAATTCCTACGACGCTACCTAGACAATAGCTGGAGGGGGGATTAGGCTCTACAAGTACAGTAGGTTCTAGACATTAAGAGTCCCCACTGACTACCAAGTAGAAGGTCGGTCGCCCCCGGCAGCCTCGAAGCGTTAGCTCACTAGACCAAGTCCCACTTGGCACTCGTCCACTAGCCCAGCACCTAGCTCTACACCCAGCCCAAGCCTGAGCCCTGGAGGCCCCCTCGCCTCCTCCTGGTCAACTATTGTGAGGGCCAGCAAGATTAGCCTAAGCTAACGAGAGCAGGGCCCAGGGTTAGCAGTGATCCCTGCCAAAAGCCGCATCTCCCACCCAATCACGCCAGCAGCCCATGTCGCCTTCTCCGTATCTTGGAGGGCGGAGTCTCAGTTAAGCTGATCCAGCATCCCAGCAAATATCTGCTGCATGGGCTTCTGCAAAGGTTGCTGGTTTCTGTTTTTGCGACACGAAACCAAAAAAACAGGCGAAAAAAGCAAAAAGGAAGAATAATGTCAAGCCACATTCTACCTAAATTGTCAGCGTGCCAGACTCCCGGAATCAGGCTAGCGAAATGATCCCCCCAGCACCACCTGCACCAGCACCAACACCAGTACCAGCACCAGCACCAGCACCACCAACACCAATACCAAGCAGCTTTTCCATTCATGAATTCAGCAAACATCGTGCATCTCGTTCAATCCCAATTCGCATCATCCATCAGACGTCTGGACCCTCGCTTCTTCTTTCTTTAATTGCACCCATGTCCTTCCCCCCACCACCACTACACCCACCACTACTATCAACACTACCGCTGCCACTCCTACAATAGTATCAATTCTACCTGGCTCAGTCCTATGTCCATTCATTGACCTGCCCCGAACCTCAAGTTTTCTTCAGACAACTTTCCGTCAAGGTATGTGACATCTCATTTCTCAAATGTGAGACAAGAGTGTGGGAGTTGAAAGACTCGAGGTGGATTGTCTGCATGTCGTCATTCGTCGCAAAAGAGCAGGAACAAGAAGGCGATGTTTGGAGAGAACTTGTACACAACTTGCGCTTCCTCCAGAACTCGGGTCGCCATCGCTGTCGCAGTCGCAGTCGCAAGCGAACCCCATGGTCCTGCAAATCTCATTCGAAGCGAGTCTCAATTTTCATGTCGTGAACGTTTCATATACTGACTTGCCGACCGTACAGATCAGTCACTCCAGTCCATACACCAATTCGAACATCCAAGATACAAACTATCATCGCAGCACGGCTTCACGGCCCATCATAGAGAGACACGCCCATTCCTTCGATACCCGGCCTTTCGAGCAAGACAGGCACAATTCAGACGGACACGGGTCATGAATCCGGGGCAGACTGTTCAAGCTGGCGAATAACTACTCTTCCTCGCATCTGCCCTCTGCGGCTCCCGGTCCGCTAGAAACTGCAGATATCAGATCCATCACCGGCATCTCTTATTCCAGGACGAACCACAATCCCCTGTCGGTGCAGACAACGCAACTGTCTCCCGCGCCGGTTCCTGGAAAGAACTTTCCCCCCTCTTACGCGCTTCTAACTCCGCCATATGCGACCGCAGATGTAAAGGCTCATCATCCGCAGTATTCCATGACCCCAGACTCGTCGACCAAATCGACACCCACCTCCCAGGCTCTCCAGAACAGCCCCCGATCCATGACGGAGCCCGAGGCTCCTCCGCCACAGCCTAAGTCGGAAAACGTCCAGTCGACGAAACAGAAACGAGTGAGGACCGGATGTTTGACCTGTCGCGAACGACACCTCAAGTGCGATGAAGGGTTACCGAACTGCCAGAACTGTCAAAAATCCAACCGAAAATGTAAACGCGGCGTCCGCCTGAACTTCATCGACATTCAATGCGAGAGGCCCCCACGCCTGGTTCCGCGGGCGCGCGATTGGAAGGTTTCTTTTCAGGACGACTCCCGCGACGTTGCCTCCGAGTATCAAGGCGGTCGGGAGAAGTATCATCCCCTCGAACCAGAGTCCAAGCGACAAAAGTTAAGCGTGACGGAGACGACTTACGACTATAGTCAGATAGCGGCTCCAACCATTCCTCATCAGCAGCTCCCAGCTCAACAGTCCTACTCCCACTCTTATGCTGAGTCGGCACAAGCTATGTACTCTAACCCCACAACTCAAGCATATGACGATGCAACAAGTGCCATGGGGCCGTATCCAGAAGCAGCTCAAGGAGTCAGACAATCCTATCAGCAGACAATGCTTACTCCCATTGAACAAGAACAAATTCCACCTTGCCTAGAGGATCGGAACGAGGTTCTGTACATGCAAGTATACGTGGAAGAGGTGGGTTTATGGATGGACTCGATGGATGCGGAAAAGCATTTTTCTCGTCTTATTCCCTTCCAGGCACTCAAAGAACCTATGTTGAAATATGCTTTGCTGGCCTGTGGAGTCCGACATCTCACCTTGGTCAACCCCATCTATCCAGAAGAGCATGCGTTGAATTACTACAACAATGCCACGCAGCTGCTGCTCAAGGCGCTACAGAATCCCGATCGAGACAGCGTCTTGTGCGCCACCACTGCCACCATTCTCAACGTCTACGAAGTCATGTGTGAGAAGGCTTTGCAGAGAATGAACCATATCGCTGGTGCCCGTGCCCTCATTAAGGAATGTCGGTGGGACGCGACTACAACAGGCATCGGATCGGCTTGTTTCTGGCTGAATGTCGGACTGGAATTGTTTAGCTGTCTGCATTTTAATTGGGCGGTTGCTTGGGACCCTGATACCTGGGGCATTGACATTGATATGACACCTCAGCTGGTGCCCGGACACGAAGAAGACTGGACCCACAGAATATTGTGGATATTATCAAAGATCACCAATTTCCGATCCGATGCACAGCGGCGATACCATGACAGCAGTGTCCATGCAGAACAGCTGCGCTTGCACCAGCAAAATAAACAATGGTTGGGTTTGAAATTCTTTTGTGACCGTTGGCACGAATGTGTACCGCCGACAATGCATCCTCTAGCATACGTTCCGCCTCAGATAACGTCGTCAAAAAGCGCGTTTCCTGAGCTGTGGTTCATCAAGAGGACCACCATCGTCGCGAGGCTATTCTATCACACGGCAATGGCATTGCTCGGGTCAGTTCATCCTTTGGCCAGCATGCACCCCCAAAAATCAGAGGAGATGCAAGATATGAGGATTCATCATTCTCGACAGATCTGCGGCATTGTTGCCCACACCAAGGACAGGGGTGTGGCTTCGGCCTCTATCCGCTGTCTAGCAGTGGCCGGTGAGAACCTTACCGTCAGACGGGAACAGGAAGAAGTTCTGCAGATTTTTGACCGCATCAAAAAGGAAACGGGATGGCGAGTCGACTCCATCCATGATGACCTTAGGGAGAAGTGGGGCTGGACCAGCTCTGCTCAAGACTATGACAGCGTGAGCTCAGTGTCTACATATTATGCACCGTCCAGACCTTCAGCTCTTTCGAGTACACCAAACGCAACGCCCCCTCGTGCAAAATACCCTAGCGGCATCGTCAACCCACTGTACCAAAATGCCGATTTTTCGGCCCAGAATCCGCCCTATCAAGGCAACTACGTCCCTCCTGCTCCTGGACATGTTATGCATAACAACACGCAAATGTATGGGTTTTCCGGTATTGCAGCCATTTGACCTTGCTCCAATTTCCCTGTGTAGGGTGTCAGGGCATTACAGAACCTGACATCAAGTGCTTCAGCTCGTTGCATCACAACTTAACGGAGTTGACAGGCTATTGCACCTATCCTGGCGATAGGGGGAGAGTCACCAGGATCTCTCAAATCTCTCGTCTGTGCAATTGGGGGAATTGAGTTTGGAGTTTGGGATTTGACAGTCGAATGACAATAAATATGATCAAGACGGGCCAAATACGGGACTTGAACAGAACCTACTGGTCCTTGGAGGCAAAAAAAAGAGGATTTGATAGGATTTTCTCTGGGAAACAAAAGGTCCATTTTCTGGAAATCAGACGATATGTGCAGGCTTAGTTAATAAGGTGGCTATATGACGACGACTACGTGAATTGTATATGTTTATTCCTTCGCTTCCTCGGCTTGTTCCGTCTCTACAAACATTTGGCTGGGCCACACAAGTCACCAGAACAATTGCTGCAGTGGATGTTGGAGGCCTTCCTTGCGTCATATCGGCAAATTCCTTCTTCGCTTGGGCTCGTAACCTTATTATTCAACATGGTCTCGATTGATTTGTTCACTGGACCTCTCTGACTTCAGCCGCACGTATTGCACCTGAAGGCGCCAAAACACGACCTCCAGGATCTAAAAGCATGTGGTCTCCGAGCCTCGACCGTGGAGCTACTCAGCCATCAAAATGGCGGTCCGCAACCTGTGTCTGTTCTGCCTGCTGACGCTCTTCTCTCTACCTGCGCCCTCTCTCGGAATCAGTATCCAATCTGATATAATTTCAAAATGCAACAATGCGACTGGCCCCGATGATAACTGCAGCATTGTTGGTGATGGTGATTTCTATGGGCTGGGGGTCAGAATCGGCATATATGCATCATGGTTCGCTTCTTGGGTCAGCAACAGCTTCGTTCGCGATGCGAGGGAGATCTGTCAGTCTCTCGACACAAACGCCAGCTTCCTGTTCGCCATCGCAATAGTCGTGGCCACGTACTCCTCGTCAGGCAATATCCGAGTCATCGACGCGTTGATCCTCTTGCTGCTGTCTTTCGGCTATCTGCTTAGCGTGATGAGCCTGTGGGGATACAGGACTCTGCCCGAAAACCGCAAGCATTTCGGCGGCTGGGGCACTCATTTCCGCCTCATGCTCATGAATGCCATATGTGCCTATGGCATCTGGTTCTGGAGTGTTGGTATGACCGACAAGCTTCCTAAATGCAATACGAGAGAACAATGTGGCGGGCTGAAGCTGTGGATTCTCGTTGAAGTCCCCGTCGCCGGTACCGGCATCCAAAATCTGTTCCTGACCTTTTCCTGCGTCATTGGTGCCTTCTACTTCACCATGTTTTTTGCAGCCTGTTTGGCTCTCATCAAACTCCTGCGGGAAATGATCGAAAACGATTGGAAAGGCTGGCGTGTGCCGTTCAGCTGGAGATTGCGAGAGAAGATCGCAAAGGCAGAACCTTGGCCTCTGAATCTGTATGTTTCCCGTCCTCATTTTATTCATCTTGCATACAATGTCCTCGTCTACTAAACCATCAAAGGCCAAGGGGAGTTAGGTGGTCAATTACGATTTCCACCTTTGTATGGCTTGTCTTTGCCATTGTGTCGGTAGAGATGACCCTTCAAATCAACCACGTTACCGGTGAGCGCGTGCAGACATTCATCGCCACTGCCGGACAATTCATCCCGCTTGTCATAGGCGGGTGCACACTTCTCCGAGTCCTTTGGAAGGTTGGCCTCCTGGGATTACCTTTCAAGTTGCTTATGGTGTTTCTGTTCCCGGACGTGAAACCAGAAGGTTCGGACACTACCTCTACTAGTAGCCATGAGACGACATTTTCGGAGCCGGATGAGCAAAAATGGTGGTGGAGAGCCATCACCACGTTCCTGCCGTGGCTTTGTGTTTTCAAGTATTGGAGACATGCTCGCCGAAGACATCCGACGAGAAGAAAGCACCATGAATCGGCTGCTGGAAGCCACACCTCCTCGAGCTACACATCGGCATTGTCGAATTGATGTCAAGGAGAGACTTGAAGAAGCTAGATTAAGAAGTCGGGATGCCAGGTTTATTCGGGCGAGTTCCCGAAGGTTGAGACCTTGACAGAGCGATGCAGTTCGAACAGCGAAGGCGGTGTAGGAGACGGCAAGGCTCCGGGTTCCGTCGAGGCTGAGAGATGTTGAGGATCTATGTAGAATGCGGCAACTGTGCTACTTCACTCTACAAATAGAGGATATGTATTCAGGGCGCTAAAGGTAATCGAAGTGCTTATAATGAGGCTGCCATGATCATGATTGCTGGCACCAAGGTCGGCCAGAGACAGAGAAGGTTCCTCTTTCACATTGTAACAAGGCAAAGTGGCTGTGCCGGACTGGTCTAGGGGTAGCAGGGAGGAGATTTGGCTGGTCACATGTCAAACCAAAAAGGACTAAAATTGGCTCTGTTTATGCAGAAAAAGACCATGCTATTGCTAGGGGGTGTGGTGGACAGTTTACAGTGCTGGCAGTGTGCCATTCTTTACAGTTTGAACAGAGTATTCTATGTTTCTAATGCCGTCTACATATCCTTGAGTGGTGTCACAGTCTTTTCTCACCCCAAAATGCAGCCGCCGTGCTAAGCGCTCGTTGTCCTAGCCACCGCCTCTCCGTGGGCGGTGTTGGTCGTGGTGTTGTTTTCCCAGCGCCGACCAGAAGGGCATTCTCGATTTCCGACCCGCTAGACAGGCCCCTGTGCGTTGTTGCACGTGCATACGCGAACCCTGAAGCGCTCCGTTACAACATAAAACAATGTCAAGTCGATCCTTTTCGGCAGCTCGGGACACGCTCTCTGGCACATCAAGACAAAAGATATGGCTCTACCACAGTGTTGCTCGTAGTGGGTACTCTTGAATATTGGCCCGAGGTCAGTTTGGGAACTTCCCCGGTTGCTTCCACTCCGCTTCATCCTGTCTAGACACTGGTCCTGATCGGGCTCAGGCGTCTGCCCCCACTAACCAGATTATCAACAGAATGCATCTTCCTCGGAAGATCGATAGGCTCTTCTACAATGCCCGATCGGGAAGGAGAGATAGTATAGCTCGACCCGCACCGTTGGGTTTTCGACTGTGCTGGTATCCTGTGATACAACGAGTCTAGTCCTCTGTCCGGGCGATTTAAATGATTTGGAACAGATACTCTCAGCGTGGTCGTTGATCTCCTCAGTTCGAAGGCTCAGGACTTAGCGTCAAGATTGAATATAGCAAGCATCCCAAGATGGGTAAGAAAGTACTCTGTGGCTACGGCATCGATGTGGATGCTGTGAGTGCTTGGATGATGCCTCGGGAGGGTGGATGTTGCACCGACAGAACCAACATGTCTCGCGGCGTGTTTGGTGCAACGGTTGGCCTCGACCGAGTCCTGAAGCTTTTCGACAAGTACAACATAAAGGCGACGTTCTTTACGCCGTGCCATACCCTCGAGTCGTTTCCGTCACAGCTGGCCAAGGTGCGCGACGCCGGTCACGAAATGTAAGAATACTCAGCCATCTGTCTACACATCTTGACCTGGAACACGCGTCCTGACAAAATGTGAAAGTGGTATGCATGGCTACACCCATGAGTTCGTCTCGGACCTCTCTGAGGAACAGGAGCGCGACATTCTGACCAAATGCATTGACGTCATTACCAAATTCACGGGGAAGAAGCCTCGAGGCTGGACAGCGCCGGCGTGGACGCCGTCAGCGAAGACGGTCGAGATCCTGGAGGAGGCCGGCATCGTCTACGATCATTCCTTCATGCATCACGACTGTCAACCATACTGGCTCCCGCACAAGAACAGCGTCACCGAGATCAACCTCAAGATGAAGGCGGCTCACTGGATGAAGCCCATGACGGCACTGCAGCCTTCCAAGATCGTTGAGATCCCCGCCAACTGGCACCTGGACGACTGGCCGCCGCTAAACGTGGGCCAGATTGTCGGGCAAGGCTTCGTCGACCCAGACGTTGTGCTGAAGCTCTGGAAGCGACAGTTTGACTTCTACTACCGCGAGTACGACTCGTTCATCTTCCCCATCACCTGCCACCCGCAAGTGACGGGGAAGGCGCAGGTGATCCTGATGCAGGAAGAGATGATCGAGTTTATCAATAGCCACGAGGGCGTGCAATGGGTGCCGCTGGAGGAAATGGCGAGACAGTTCAAGGACGGCGAGCTGTCGGGCGCCACGGTATTCGGAGGTGTAGACGTGTGATGGCCTTCCATTCCGCGAACAATGTAATTGCTCGTCGATTCTTTCTATCCAAATGGAGCCTTGGACCAGCTTTGGAGCGGGTTCCGGAAATGAGCTCAGGTTAGTCACTGCTAAGCATTTCGGGGTTTAGCTATTGCTGTTATGTCCGTTCTTTTTTTGTTTCATCTTCCATTTACTATCAACTTCATCCTTCATTGTACCCTGTGCGCCCTACAAAATAATTGGTACGTGTGCTTCCCAGCTACACAGGATACCTAGCTTCATTCCCGTGCCCAAGAGACCTTATCATTGCGACTCGACGCCATCGAGTTCGTGTTGGGCACGACCAGCCGGCGACTCCCCGATGGACCATCCTGAGCAACGAAACTCAGTCTCGCCCATCATGCACGCCTCCTGTTATCTCAAATTTGCAATCGAGACCCTTTTCAGCCGCTCTTCTCCGACTGAGTGCAAAGGGCAGCAGGTTGGAAGCCAGGCGAACGCGGGTGCAGGTTGATACTCGCACGTCAAATTGAACAACCAAGGTACAACATCCTGTACCGACCTTGCTTGGCTCCGTCGCGAGGATCGATAACCTCATTTTCCTATTACGCCTACCTAGTTTATATTGATCCAGCCCGCCCCGAGCTAAGGACAAGAACTGTTAATACACAAGTTTGCCAGTCTTATGCTTCCCCGACGAGTGGGGCAGACCTAGACTAAGATGCGGCTGCGGTTGAAGATCCTTTCACCGCGTGCCTTCTCATGTGCAGGATCTTCCATTCCCGGATACCGTTGATTATCGTCTGCAGTTCGCAGAAAACCGATCAGGAAGGAGAGATAAGCATGGCCTTTCCGACTTTCCGAATTGACAACGCTGGCCAAATGGCTCCTTGTGGAAAGAGAGGCTCCGTCCTCCCTTCAATTGGATAGCTTCGGTATACATCTGAAAACTGCTGCAGGGGGAACCCGGGACAATTGGCTCCTGGATCACGGCTCGTGCATCTATACGTCAGCCTCGCTCCAAGGTCAACTTCTATCTAGATTCGATCAGCCCCCTCTCAGCGTCAATGCTTTTATGCCAGACCCAGTCCATGACTCGCTCGAAATAGGGCCACTAGGATATCTGGCGGCGGTCTGCTGGTTCGCCTCGGACATTGAGAGCCGAGATCCTTGGATAAGAGATCGACATGAATTATACAGGGCGACTCATATATAAAGTAGTCCCTTCGCTGCGTGATCGTCACGGTCTGTTTGCTTTTTCCTCTACTATAACATCTCTCTGTCCCGATCACTTTGGCTGGTCGAAGTTCAGCACGGCAAACCAACAGCACCATGGCCTACGGTCTGGGTATCCCCAGGCTTAGGCTTAATAGTCCCTACTGGTGAGATATGCCCCTAATAGTGCGGCATTGGGACTTGATTCTGACGTATGAACAGGCAAAACTTCATTGGAGGTATCCTTATCGGCCTCACCGGAGGGCTGTATGCTGCTCTCAACCTCTTGGGTGCTGGAGGCGGAAAACCGAATTCGTTCCAAGTTGTTCAGACCGCCAATGCCACTCTTTGTGCCGTCTATGCTGTTTCAGCCTGGTTTGGAGGGACTGTGTTGAACACCATCGGCCCAGCCTTGACTGCTTTCGTACGTAGGACAAAGATTCTTGATGGATGTCAGCGGTCAAACAGACTGACCGGTGATCTGTACAGTTCGGTGTCATCGGATATATCCTCTATGTGGGAAGTTTGTGGTATTTTGACCAGCATGGCAAAGAGACTTTCCCAATCATCGCAGCTGTCTGCGTGAGTTCCCACTCCCTTTGGAAGACTATTTCGTTTTGGCAAAAACACTGGCATTAGCGCCGCCGCGATCAGCACATGCTAACTAAGTCTCACAGATCGGTGTAAGACCGAATCAAGAGTGTTGGAGCTGTGGGTTTTGCTGATTTTTGCTCCAGATCTCTGCCGGCTTCATCTACGTGACTTCCGGGTATCTTTCCATGTCGTATTCGGAGGAGAACGAACGTGGAAAGTTCGTGGCAACATCTATCAACCTTCAGGCCACTGGCGCTGCAATTGGTGGCCTGATTCCTCTGATCATCAATCATGACAAGGTACCGTGTACAATATCACTTTCATTCTCCTCCCGATACTCACGACAATCACAGGCGACCAGCGCTGGAGTCCCTCCAGCCGTCTACATCGTTTTCATTGTCATGGATTTTGTAGGCTGTGCGTTGGCATTTCTCCTGCGCCCGCCCGAAAAGGTAGTGAGAGATGACGGAACCAATATCGCCGTGGTCAAGGCCCGTCCATTCTGGGACGAGTTCAAAGGTAACCTCGAAGCTTTCAAGGATTGGAGGATGCTCGTAATGGTGTGATGAATGCCGGGTCCCCAAGGACACTATTGGAGCGGTGGCTGACTTGAATGTAGATTCCTGCTTTTGCTGTCAGTGAATGCTTCCTCGTCTATGGCGGTAGCGCGAATGCGTTCCGCAACAGTCTCCGAGCTCGAAGTCTGCTGGGGTTTTGCTCTGTGACGCTCCAAATCATATGCGGTTGGGCTCTGACGCTGCTCCTTGACAATGAAAAACGTAAGTAGAACCCCCGGCAGTTCACTACCCATCCTTGAATTAGAAAAGAATTCCTTCTTGTGGCTTTCCATCGAGTGCTAATGGATCCATTCTTCAGTCCGCCGTAAAACCAGAGCCCAGATTGGTCTCGCCATTACTGGCATCCCGGTCATGGCCGCATATATCTGGGAGATGATCCGGACGCGCAATTACGATAGGAATAATCCTCCGTCGCCTCCCCTGGACTGGAACGAGCCCGGATTTGGTCCCATCTTCGTCCTGTTCATGTTGAACTGGGTGTCGTGTTCGCTCTTCCAATACATGATTCTTTACTTTTTGGGTTGTTTCACAAACAATCCTCGAGTCGCGGCCAACAATGCTGTGAGTTGCTTTCACCCCCTGATATCTCTTCGAGATTACATTCTTTGGCCATGCCGAGATCTCCCCCTAACTGACGCTATGTTTCTTCCCCTTACCAGGGCGTTTTCCGAGGATTCATGGCCGCGGGAGAAGCCATCGACTTTGGCGTCGACAGCATGGGGGTGCCTTTCTTGAAAGAATCTGGGGCCCTCTTCGCCTTCTACACCGCCGGGGTCATCGCGATGGGATACCTGGCGCTCTTCCATATCGACGAGACCAAGTACTTTACCGAAGAGGAGGTGACGATCCCAAAACATGTTCAGGAAGAGCATGGCCAGACCATGGTCATTGAGGGAATGACCAAGGGCACTTCGGAGACCACCACGGATGAAGAGGCCGCGATGGGCAAGGGCGCCACTGGCGTTGCGGAGGAGATTAAGTTGTGAAAAGAGAAAGAAAACGGGAGTCAAGCAAAGGTTTGCTCCCTCCCTTGGAGATGCGCGCCGTCATCTCAATAGACGTATGTATGCATGACATGTACGAAGACCCTGTCGACTTGGGCTTATCTAGTGTGCAGTTATAGAGTTAGATAGACAGTCTTTTTCCGAATCCAGAGCACAGGTTATTGGATGATTGTGATTTACCTCGACGTGGGATGGATAGACGGAGTGCCATACCAGAGGGATTGTTGCACTACACACACCACGTACTGGTCGCAGTATGGTACGTACACACTGCACCGTACCTCGTGGACTTCTCTCAAAAGTGGAAGTATTCTTTACTCTGCTGTTACCACCCCCTGTATGGCGTGTGTGCGTATATTGCATGTGTCCCTGTACATAGGAGTTAGAAATGGAAACGGGGACGGAAACGGAAATGGAAATGGGACAAGTGCGGGCTTGGGGGGTTGTATGCGAGAGCGGAGCAAGGAGGAAGGAATACGAGCAACACGGGTACGGATATGATGAGCTATTAAGGACGTATGAGACTTGAGTTGGTATTTATGTGCTTAGTAGTTCAGGTAGGTTTGGGTCGGGTGGATTCAGGGAGCTACCTGATACTACCTATAAGTACTTGTACAGAGGCAGATCCCCTGGTATGATACAACGATTTTAGTGCCGAGCTTGCGGAGGCCTACCGGCCACTCAGAACACGCTGTTGTATGTCTCGCACCTGGGCCGCCATTGGCAGAACCCCGCCTCGTGATCGTCTTCCCAGCGACAATCGATGGACTCGATACCTGGAGCACAACACTTCCTCCTCGAGCTCTCCCATGATCTTCAACCTCGCCATCGCCTGCGCCACCCTGCCTCCACCCAACGAGGCTGGCAAGGTGTGTGTGCGTGCTTTCCAGTTACACTCCGGAAGGGGCTGGTGAGGAACTCACCCCACCTGCGCGGCTGCGGCGGTCCTGACAAATCCGCGATACATACAATCTTCTTGTTCATCATGCCCCTTTTGTGAATCGGGTGGGTATAATAGACTGCGAGGATGATACCGCTACTCAACCAATCGCAGCCGTTACGAGTAATGACGGTCACGCCTGTGTATTGTCACAAGGCTGGCTCTCTGTTCCCATTGGACGGCCTCGGACTGTCGTCCAACCGGCCCGCACCAGATCAGAACGACAACACTCTACGATATCACATCTTCATCCATTCCCTGGAGCCTGTGTTGGAGTTGAGAACAGGTCTGCTAGAACCGGGAGAAGTCGGTCTCATGCGACGGATAGAAACTTCAAAGATGGCATGGGCAGCAAGGAGGCAAAATCATATTTTGCTCCTGGATTTTACGGAATGAAAGAGCTCTCCATCATCCTGTGTTCCGACTTTTGATGTTGGAATTTTGAGTAAGAATGCCAATCGGGGCCGAGCATTTGCCACTACTAATCGTAGGACCCTTTGGCCTGGGGCGGCGGAGTGCGGCTCGCTCAGTTGCAACCTAAAACGGGATTGGCTGGGGCCCGTTAGGCATGCATGCAGTTTCTGACTTAATCAGAGCCTAGCAGCTCCTGAGTCGTAAGGTCGCTAAACCAAAGTCATGCTTAGCCGAGAGGAAGCACGGTAGGGTTAGCAACCAATAGTCACTTCAGCGAACTCTCATTGTTAGGCGAAAAGAACTTCGTGAAAAGTATTGGCAGCACTGGATTGCCCTCAGCACAAGATTCCAGCCGAGCTGGCAATCGAGATGGACATCCGGTCATTGAGTAGCTCTCGCAGTTCCGTGCTTGACATCAATTGCCAGACCACTCTTCTTCTGTTGCTGGTTCCCTCTCCCATGACCGATGGCGAAGGATTCATTTTACGGAGGCGACCCCTGTCCACACCATTACCACGTGGACGCTATAGCACTCACAGAGATGACCCCCTCGACTCGTCCTCCTGCCTTGCGATGCGCCCGTCTATGTGTTCTTCTTTGTGGGAGTGCTCTTCTCCTTGCGCTCCTCAGTGTCTCGAGATTCGAGGTCACTCCCAGGATTGTTATGCATAGACCAAGTCTCCCGGGCATGTACATCCTGTTCTCTAGTTTTCAGGTCCCAAAAGAAGGCGCCGAAGTTTCCTTTGTAGAACATTTAGCCGTCGAAGGGAGTTGAAGTTATCCGGGACTCACCGTTCTCAGAGACCATGGCAATGTATCCCTGTTTTGATCTCGAAGCTCTCAATGCCATGAGGAATTGGCGAAATTGACGCAATGATGTGTACTGGTATCTGTCTTGCTGTTGGACGTAAAGGCAGATCTCGGATGTTCCAGACTGGTTCGACTGAAGATGGAATGGGGAGCTATAGAGGCAAATAGGCTCATTATATAGATACATAGAGGGCAAGGGCGGATTCGGTTGAAATGGGGAGTCAGGCATAGGGTTTCTGCAGAACCCTGTCTCTCGTTGAGCTGACCATTGAACAATTTTGTTGAGCCACATACAGGAAGGCTGCTATCCCGCTGCGGCGTCAGGTCGCAACGTGCATGTGGTCGGATACGAGTAAGCAATAGGGGGTGGGATGTTGTGCTGGAAGGCACTCATCTCAGAACAGCGCCCTGTTCTGGCTGGTGACTTCCAGGGGTATGGTCCCTGGCAGAACAGGACTTGCGTCGATGTTGGCTTTACCCGACTGCTGGGAGCATTGTCAAATGCGCAAGGAATGTCGGCCTGAAGAGTTTCCCGAAGCAAGGCTACAATAGACATGGCGAAACCGACTAGTGACGTCGTCATCTAGCTCCCATCGAGTGTGCCAGTAACGGCCGTTGCCTTAAGTGCCTGAGTTGAAATGTCACAGATGAACGCCACTATATCCATATAAATTGATGAAATGGCGTTGTTATGACGGTATAGTACGGGGGCGGTGGACTGGTATACAGGTGAGTAACACTCGAGTTACCCGTACTCACGAATACTGTAAAGTTTCAAGCGCATGGACAAAGCTAGCGCGCCTCGTTGGGCCTACATTGCCCACTTTGCCCCGCTCTGCTCGATGTAAGTACAAGGTACAGCCTGCCAAAACTCGTGCTCCATCAAGATTGGACATCAGAGACTACTGGAAGCTTACTCTGTGCACGTTCGGTCAATTATACATGAATAAGGCCGCCCCCTCCCCACCTTGCCAGCCGAGTTACAGAGAGAAAAGCGTACTGTATATGTAATGCAAAACCCATTGCATATGCAATGCAATGCAATGCAATGCAAAACCCTTGTTCCATCTCCAGCGCCTGGTCAATTTCCAGCATCCTTGAAACTACGGAGACCACAACAGAAGTGTCTTGCCCTGGCTCGCTCCCGTATTGACCTTGTTCGGGTCTCCATCAATACTTCATTACCTTCAAAGGACTACTGAAGCATGTCTGGGAGAGGACAGAAGCGAACGCCAAGCTGCCATGCATGAAATCCTTGAAGCCTTTAGAGAACCGTTTGATTTCTTCTCTGGTGTAATTTGATTGAAGTACGCGGCCGTGGCCCGCACAGAACGCTTTCGGCCGGTCCACCTTAAGCATTCTTGCACTCCGCAACGCATGGGCTCTGTGGTTAGCCATCCTCGCCTTTGCTCTCAGCCCGTAGCGACTCGATTGGACCTCTGGTCTCCCGATCCTTGGGTTTCTCCCAGGTCGACTGCACTCGAAGGGTTATGGTTCATAGGCCATGACTGTTGGCTGCCGTCCTTGTTCTTCGTTGATTCGTTCCAGAACATGCTTCGGGCTAAGCCCAGCCAAGTCAGGAGGAAAATGAATCGCCAGATGAGCTGCGGTTGGGGAGGATGTTGCATCGTCCGACTGGGCTTCACATTTCCCGGTTTGCTGCAATATCCCAGTCGCCAACAGCTGCGCACCAACTTGGGAAAAGAATGCTAAATTTTTGATGCCCTGAGAGCGTCTTCCCTGCTAGGAAGAATCTAGTCTTGGGGCCTAAGAGGGCCTGCTCCAATTGTTGCACTGGCTGGATACGGATTTCCAGGCCAGAGTATGGCGCGGTGAAGCAAACAAAACAACCAGCTGCTTTGTCTAAACATTTTCAAGCTGCACAATGGAAACTGGCCCTGATAACGTGAAAGATGTTGTTGATGACAAGGCAACTCGCATAACTGCAGCACGAACGCTACAGACCCCGGTCCGTCTCGGAGACTATCACCCACTAATCTAGTGGCTTCTACCAAGTACTGGGTAGTGGCTCAAGCCTCACGGTGATGCACTAGTATCCCTAGTGGCCATGCCAATCGTATTATCTCACTGTCGGTCACCGACCACTACGGCTCTGGAGTACTGTGAACGAGTACGAGTGCTGGTGCTGGTGAGGTAATTCTTCTTGTAATTTGGCCGTGTATTCCCTCCGGACTGTTGGCTTGGGATGCTTCTGGAATAGCGTGTGAAAGCCATTTTCACTATACCCGTTTTGCCAGCAAACTGATGCACTCTGCTTCTGGAATAGTGTGAAAGCCATTCAACACCATGAATGTTCTCGCTGAAAACCAATGTCTCGCTGAACTGACACCGCTGCTCCTCCCAAACATATCCCTGCTGACCCTCTTTTTCTTTCCTCCCAGCAACCATGACCTCCTCACCGCAGGCCACCGTGCCAACTCCGCCCACGAACTCGCACCCCGCACACACGCTGCTCTCTCGCGCGCATTCCCCCGACGCAGCCTCACGGATCTTCGCCGAGAAAGTCAAAAACAAGCCCCTCCTTCTCCAGCCTACATCCTCTGCCGACAGGGACAAGCGCGCCCTGCGCCGCCGCATCCGTCTCCGCAAAAAGGAATACTACCTGCGCAAACGCAAACCGAAACCACTAACTGCCAAGGAGAAGAGGGAGTTGGGGGTCTTCAAGCTGAAGAAGGAAGAGGTCAAATATGACATCTACAAGGGCCTGCATGAGCTGTGGAAGGGATATATACTGGAGGTCCTCGGGTTCGTCAAGGACGGCCAGACCGTACAAAGCAGTTTGGGGAGAGTGGTGAAGGCGCAAAGCCACGGCTCGCTCCTCGCGAGCGCAGACTTCCACGGCGCGGAACTCGAGGTGGTTCGTTGCTCGGATACCGGCAAAATCGGCATCAAAGGCATCGTGGTGAGGGATACGAAGTTCACGTTTGTGGTTGTTACGACAAGGGACGAGGTGAAGACGTTGCCCAAGAAGGATTCCGTGTTTCGGTATGCGATCCCCCTCCCAGAGGACGGAAACGAAATTGAGAACGAAGGACCGCACAAAGAGAAAGACGAGGGCAGAGAGGCAAGTATGCGAAGGAGAATGCTAGTGTTCGAACTACACGGGAACCAGTTCGAATTTCGGCCTGCAGAGAGAGCAAACCGAAAGTTCAAGTGGAAGGCCATGGATTACTTATAAAGATCCAAGGTTGACCCAACGACCAATATCTATCAGTGGCAGAACACAGGCCTGCGACATCATGTGACCGAAGTCGACACGCATTTGACGCTGGGGGGCTGCGTCACATCGCCGCCCACTCAACGCTCAAAGTTCTTACATTCCCCGTTGGACTGGCTCCGCCCAACAAGAAACCTTTCTTCACCCCAGTCCCCAGTCTACCTCCGCCTACAATATCCATGAGATCAATCTCTTCATCCCACTGAGCGCCCACAGCGAGAAAATGGGAATGGAATCGGAGAGGGTCGCCTGGATAAACAGTGTATTGGCACCCAAATCGAAGACCGGGTGTGATGAAGAAGCCTTTATCGTGGAGATGCCTGTAAAGAGGGTAAGATGATGGAAGGTTCTCTACTGTCGACTTGAGCCCGGTTGGAGGTGTCGCAAGGAGCAGTCGAGATGTCGCCGGGGTGACAAAATAACTGTTCGACGTGGCAGTAGGAGGCAAAACCTTGACCGGAGAGTCATCCTCAAGGAGCGCGGTTTTATCCAGGGCGGTCTCGTCAGCATCTTGTGCCGTCTCACCGTCGTCAAAGTCGAACAGCTCGGCACTACGTTCGTCTTGCGTGGGACCGGATGATGCGGTCGAAGTTTTTGACTTCTTGTCCAAAGCCCGCCTCCGAGACTGTTCCTTCTCCTGGTCTTTGGCTTGCTTAACTTGCTTAGACTGCTTCTCTATTTTGGCCAGGTAATCAGCACGTCGTGCTAGATCTCTCGACTGGACGGCTTGATCATGAACTCGAGCATCATCAACAACCACGCCGACCCCTCGTTCAACCAATAGTTGAGCCTCTTCGGGCATGATCTCGATAGGCACACCGAGAAATAAGTTCTGAGACGGACTCAAGGGTAGAGTGCCGATTGCGACGCCACATATGTGATGCTTGCGGCGAAGGTAGGTCGCAATATTTATGTCGAAGAGTAGATATCGACCGCCTACCAAGGAGATCGGGACTGGGAGATCGGGGTTATGATCAAACCCCAGATCTGCTGGAGAGTCCATCATGAAGGAGGTCTAGAGCACTAAATATGTTTTTATTGTCAGTTGAGGAGTCGACATGCAGGTTTTTGTGCAAACAATTTGAACTTGAAAAAGAGCGATCATATTTCAACAACGATTCTTCGCTTCAGTCACATGGCTTCCGGAGAAGCTTCTCAGGGGATTGACAGATTATATAAAGTGGTCTAATCATGCAAACGGCTCGGAAGTGATTGTAAAAGAGAGGCAATACTCACGCACGAATTTGCGCCAGAAAATTGATATCACGGGTCCTTCACAACGTGTAAGAGGCCTTCAACCACCCGGCCGTTAGAAGGGTTGTAACCTTTGGGAGTCGCGGAAAGAATAAAGAGGGCTTGAAGACCAGCCTTCAAGCGAGGTGAGATAGACTACATGATTTGGTTGCGGTGTCTGGAAGTGAGAAGACAGATATTTCTGGTGAGAGAGCAATAGAGTTGGAAAAAGTGACATTGATGTGTTGGGTGTTTCGCTTCTTTGAAAATTTAATTCTCCTGTCTGACAGGATCTTGCTTCAATAGTCCAACAACAGTCCGAAGATAGTCCGTCGCTGTTACGGTCAGACTAGAATATTTATTCGTGCCAGCTAACTTCCGCCCAGATTGCCACCTTCCACGCCCCCTTTAACTACTCTTTCCGCTCACTGTTCGAGGCGAAGGTGTCTCATTAAGTCGTTCATCCCGACAGATTACTCTTCAATAATGAGTGTCCTCATGTTGCTGTCGTTGCTCCTCTTGGTTCCTTTTCTCTTCTTCCTAGGTACGTCCCCGACTCACATCTGCTTACGGCCCCTTGCTGAAGAGAGGCGGGAAAAGCATTTCTGGCTCTTTCGTCGTGTCTGGGCGAACAGTTTCGCGCGCGAGTATCCGGCTTCAGCATCAATACGCGCCATGCGTCTTATGACCGTACCTATTTTCGAACCATGACCAACCCGGGTCCTTCATCCTCGGAGCATATTGAGCTGGAAACTATGTTCAATGCACAGGGATTGCATCCCGACGACGATGACGTGTGAATCCAGTCCCATGGAGCAGTTTAGAATTCCATGTCAGCCTTCTTCCCCTTTTGTTCCTGGCCAGCGGCCTGCTGAGCAGCTGTGTCGCCCTCGACAGGTGGCAGATTGAACGGCTTGATTGTGAACTTTCTCCGGCTCAGGGTGAAGGTCCAGTCGGTCTCAGACGTGCCAACGCCGCTACCGCGGTCATGGAGCATTGGGAGGCGATGTACTTGCAACAACCCCTGAGGGGGCTCTTCAACTGACCCAGAAGGACCGCGAGAAGGGATTGTGTCTCCCTCCGCCGAATGTGGAAAGGGGGATAGTTCGAGAACGCCGTCATTCAGCAGTTCGATCCACCGAACCAGCCCAGAAGATCGCGGGTACAATGACAGTGGAAGTGACATGAATGCAGTCAGTCGATTGGAATATGCAGCGAACAGTGCACGAAGACCATGCAGGAACTGGAGAGTATTCTGCGGTTGACTCGACCAAGGGGGATAAAGCGCCGGGGAAAGCAATGATGGGATGACGAGGCGGTGAACTGTATCCGGTGTGGACTTCGCAACAGAAGCATGCAGCCGGTCAAGAATGGATGCGAAGGGCGAATGCGTTGGATTCATGTCTAGCTGAATGAAATCCATTTGGGACCCAGCCGGATGAACGAGTCGCTTCGTCAGGTCGAATGTATGGCAAAACGCTATCGGCGGTCCCTGGGCTGCTCCTCCGTCCGGACCTGGTTGTCCGACTGTCGGATGTGGACGTTCTGCAGGAAGAAGAAAGATACGTCAGTGCCAATGCGAAGGCTGAAACGAAGAAAATGTCAAGAGAATAACATTTGACTCTAGCTAGGCTACAAGGACGAATATGCCCACCTCTTGCAGTTGTTGCGCCTGCGCCGAATTGTCCCAGGCTCTCGTATCTCCACGCAATCTTCATCCTCTCTGTTTCAGCAAGTGTTGTCTCTTTCTTCTCGCCTTCACCGAAGACGCCTGGAAGTTCTCGACCCCATTGCTCCGGTAGCGCAACGACGTGGACGTGATGGCCCTGGAGGAGTCCCTCTGCTGCGTAGAATCTGAGCAGCGTGCCCGCGTAGTCCGTCGCCCCACTCTCTTCGATCAAGATGGTGCTGCCGAGGACGAGCCCGGAATGTCCTGCGAGGAGGGCGTCGAGGCTGGCGGTGCCCGTAGAGGTTGTTGTCCGTCCATCCACTGGTGAAGGCCGCACTCCAGGCAGTTGAATTCGGTCTTTCCTGTTGGTTTGCGCGGGGCCTTCAGATCTCGCAGAGCCTGAGAGGCCTACATTGCGCTTACGAAAAGACATCGATGCAACGATTTGCAACTCCAAATCTCCAGATGGTTGGCTGGGTGCATGTCGGAGTTGAAGAAACTTGATATTGCATTAATAGCCGCAGGATCCACCGTACTGCCCCACTCTTGCCCACCGTACTTGACGTCTCCCGAACCGCAAAAAATTAATTTCTTGCGCCAGAACGCGAGCCTCCGAATTTCGTCCTACTGCGCCCAACACTGTGAGCGCTCACCCGTCTCTTGAACAAGGTATAATCGCCGTCAAAATGTCTGAGAACATCCTCTTCGAACACAGCTTTAAAATCACGGAGCTCAACGACACCAAATACGACAGAGTCTCCCGCATCAAAGCCTACAGCGAGGGTGAGCAGGAGATCCTTCTAACCCTCGACGTCAACACCGAACTGTACCCTCTGAATGTCGACGACCGAATGACCATAGCGCTGGCTCTATCGCTGAATCTTGACGGCAGCAAAGACGACGGGAAAGGGTGGAGAGAGATCGGGAGAGGGGAACAGACGCTGGCTGACGAGTTCGACTATGTCTGCCACGGAAAAATCTACAGATTCGAAGAAGGCAGTGGAGACAACATGTGAGTTTTGTGCAAGCAGATTTTCGGTGGCGCTTGCTCAGACTAATTTGATTCCTGTAGCAAGTTATACGTCTCTTTCGGCGGCCTCCTACTCTACATGGACGGCCCCTACGCTATGCTCAACGCTCTGAGAATCGACCAGGTGTACTTGCTGATGAAGAAATGAGCTGGTCTATCTACCATTTTGGCACGACGTCTGCTTTGAGTATCTCGGAGAAACAAAAGGTCTATTTTAGCGAGGCGTTGGTGGTGGACTCGGCTCGCCCATGACAGGACTACGGAGTTGGGAACTCCAGCCTTCTATGGAATCTGGCGACTATTTCAATGTAGTCAGGTTCGTTCTCGGCGGTCAAGAATCCATGCCTGACTAGGAACTCCAAGAGCAAATGCGCACAATTCGGCTTGAATCTACCCTCCGCCATCGCTCGCCGGACCTCGTCAACTGTCAAAAGCTGGAAATCGATAGCCTCGTCGTCGCCTGGTTTGGGTATGACGTCCGGCGGCATCTTGAGGTCATAGATGTACTGACACTCGGGCTGACAGAGTCCCGTCTCTCCTCCGGCTCTCGCGTCTCGGACATGGAAATATGTCAAGGTTCCACAAGCCTGAGCCGCCGTGCGCACCAAGTCTGCGGGCAATGAAGCTTCCTCCTCGCATTCTCTGATCAAGCACTCAAAGGGCTTTTCTCCAATGGTCAACCCTCCAGCGACCGTGTTGTCCATCATGCCCGGATAAGTCTGTTTCGTCAAGGCCCTCCGAGGCGTCCATATCTTCATACCCTCGCCTGTCATGACATAGCCAGTCATGTGCACACCATAGGTGACGACTCCGAACAGAGGTGTCGCCGAACGCTCCATGCTGAGCAACAGCTCCCTCTTCGGGCCGTATATGGGATACAGCTCGTTCCGCCAACCATCAAGGACGCCAAAGATGTGGCGTTCGCGAACGTCCTGGAGATAGTCTGCCAGGATCCGGCTGCGTGCGTCGAGATCCGTGACTGGGTATCCAAGGTCGTCTCGCGGTTGGAATATCAGGCGTCGGTTGAGTTCATCGAGCCTCCAGTGAGGGGTGAGAGGCATTCGCTTGGCGACAGAGGACGTCATATACCCCAGACACGCTCCGCAACCCTCTAGGTAGAAGTGGTAGTACTCATTCCAAAGGACCTTGAACTTGTCCGGATCGTCCGAGTGATAAGGAAAGCTTTTGATTCCCCAGTATCATTATTAGCCAGTTAGTCCTCTAGGGAGCCAAAGGAAACAGTGGTTTCTCAGCTTTATTTTGTCTTTTCGCTTCTGTTTTTCTTTCTCTTGTTCGTTTTCTTTTCCTTCTTCTTTCTCGCTCTTCCTTTCCCTTTCTTTTTCTTTCTTTTTGCTTTTGGTTTAGGATTCAGACATACTTATCACATTCATTAACTAGATCCAGATTCGAGAGGAGGCCCATGATCCCCAAATCCCCCTCCCTATCTCCCGATCTCCCGATCTCCCTCGTACTCGAAAATCCGGAACCCGATATCCGAAAAAGCGCTTGGTTTTGCTTAATGTGGGATATGCGCGAACTGATTGAATCTTGGGACGGAAGTTCAAACACGACGAGGCTTCGTTCACCGTGGTAGGCGATTTCGGCGGTCTGTCACGTACCCGTGTATGGAGGAGGACTGGGAACGGACGACGTGGTAATATGTCCAATGCATAGAGCATGGACCTAGGTACGAGTAGGCATATTAACGGCTAGCGGTGAAGATCGGCCCGAATACCGGCTAACTGAATTTCTTGGCGCGGCTGGGCCGTCAGGAGGGCTCTTTCCCAAGCATTACATGCCCTATACTTCGGTACTCTATATTCACGTCAAGTCCCCCTCCACCATCATCTCCCAGAGAAATCCTTTTTTCTGCATCAACTCTTCAAAGGTCCCAGACTCTATGATCGTCCCCTTGTCCACCACGAAGATCATCTCGGCCGACTTAATCGTCTCCACCCGGTGCGAAATGTTGATCATAGTTCTTTTACCTGGACTTTCACCATTCTCCTCCTTGTTGCCGGCCGCAGAAGCAACAGTAGCCTTGTCCAACGCGTCTCTTATGGTTGCTTCATTTTCCACATCCAAGGCACTCGTAGGTTCGTCCAGGAGCAGGATCTGTGGGTCGCGCAGCAGAGCTCGGGCTATCGCGATGCGTTGCCTCTGGCCGCCGCTAAAGGCCTGTCCGTGTGGTCCGCATTCCGTGTCATAGCCACTCGGTAGGGAGATGATGAAGTCGTAGATGTTTGCGGTGCGGCAGGCCGCTTCGAGTTGTTGGTCGGTTATGGTCGAATCATCTTGGACACCCAAAAGGAGATTGTGACGCAATGTGCCCTGGTAGAGGGTAGTCTCTTGCGACACGAAACCGAGTGTCGAGCGGTAAGCGTTGACGTCAAGCGTCCGAATATCGGTTCCCTCGATAAGTATCTCACCACCTGTGACGTCGTAGAAGCGCTCGAGCAACGCAACGATGGTAGATTTGCCACATCCGCTAGGTCCCGTTATACATACCTTCTCGCCGGGCTGGATTCTGAAGCTGAGATTATGTAGAACTTCCACGTCCGGGCGAGCTGGGTAGCGGAAACTGACGTCTTTGAATTCAATGGCAGCTTCTGTGGGTCGCAATCTGCGTGGATCAATACCTGGATGCAAGTTTATGGCCGGTTTCTTCCGCTGCATGTAAAAGATACGGTTCATTGCGGCTTGAGATTTCGTGATGCCTGTGGAAAGCAGCAGTGGTCAACAGAAGATAATTTCGATCGAATCTGCACTATACTCACTCGCAGTATATCCTATGATGAACCCGGCCGATTGTCCACCAAAAATAACGGCGCCGTAAACCAAGAAGTATGCCGAAACACCCAGATCGCCATACGAGACAAGTCTGCCGCCATACCAGAATACTAAAGACATAGCTTTACTCCAACTGTCAGCAAGACGTTTCCAGCGATTGCATAGAATTCTTGTCACTTACCGAGCAGGTCTATGGAGTCTGCGAGAGAGAAAAAGAGCATGGACAAGACAGTCCGTCTCAAAGAGCTCACAGCAGCCGTCTTCAATCGAGCCGAATACCTTTCGATGACCTTTGATTCCATCGTCAGGGAGGCAACTGTACGGATCGCCCCAACCGCTTCGGAGCTAAAGCGGGCGCTCTCAATGAAGAACTTCGACGCTCGGTCCTCTGACTCCCGGTCGATCCTCATACGCAGGTAGCCCGCTAGAAGCAGCAAGGGCACACAGCACAAGACACCAACCAATGCCAGTTTCCAGTAAACGGCGAGTGCCAGGATGATGCTTGCGATCAAGTCGACAATGAAAACGACAATAAGGCCTATGTTCAGGCTTATCATCAAGTCCATTTCGTCGCCATCAAGACCTAGCAAGGCAGTCAGGCCACCAGATGAATTTCCCTTTTCCTCGAAGAAGGTAATGTCTTGATTGAGCAACCCTCTTAAGTACTCGGCTCGGCACTTCAAAGCGCTTCTCGCGCCAGCTATCGCAAACAGAAACCAGGTGACGGCAAAAACCACCAGATACGCCAATGCCAGAAGGAAGAACATAAGCGCCCAGAAGTCGGCCTTGGTAACCAGGTTTGAACCCTGGTATTGGAAGATTGTCACGAGCCTTGAGAAAAGGAAAGCTTGAATGGGTATGAGACCGCCAGCGACAAGGCTGCCTATTAAGCCACCAACGAAAACGGGTATGATGCTCTTTTGGTCGGATAGCATCATAAGCAGGCATCTTATTAAGGAAAAGCGGCGAGTGACTGACTTTGACTCTAGAATCGTAGCTCCCTCTGGAGTCTCGGCTTGATTCTGAGGCCCCTTCGCAGGTATCGATTTCTGAATCGGGGCTGAAGCTTGCTTGTCGCTCACCCGTGTCGCCTTGTCCGCTTGCCTGCCCTTTTCCCGGATTAAGCCTTTTGCACGGAGAAGACGCGCATAGACGCCCCCAGCAGCCACAAGAGAGGCATGAGTTCCTTTCTCAGTAACATGGCCGTGTTCCATAACAATGATGTTGTCCGCGTGCTCGATGGTGGACAATTTATGCGCAATCATCAACGTTGTCCGGCCCTGAGAGGCCCCCAACAGTGCCTTCTGCACAATTCGAGCCGAATCCAGATCCAAGGCACTTGTGCATTCGTCTAGTAAAAGGATCTTGGGGTTAGAAATGATGCTCCGGGCGATCGCAATCCTCTGTTTTTGACCGCCGCTCAGAAGATCCGAATGCTCGCCAACTTGGGTGTCGTAGCCTTCAGGGAGTGCTTGAATGAACTCATGTGCGTCTGCGGTAATGCAAGCCTCGATGACCAGTTGGCGTTTCTCCCTTTCGTTGAGTTTATCGGCTTTCGCCCCGGGTAGTCCGTTCAAGACATTTTCGTATATGGTATCATTGAAGAGCATTGGCTCCTGGATTTATGACACATCAGCCTTGATATGTTCATGACGGAGGGCCTACGTTACCTGTTGCACCAGCCCCATCTGACCTCTCAACCAATCCAGGTCCAAGTCTCGTGTATTTGTGCCGTCTAGATAAATCGACCCATTGTCAGGATCGTACCACCGCTCCAAGAGTCCCACGACGGTGCTTTTGCCACATCCACTGTGACCGACAATGGCAGTGAACTGATTGGCAGGTATTTCAATGCTTAAGTCGTTCAGAACGCTAATTGTTCGTCTTGTAGGGTAGGCAAACGATACGTTTCTCAGACTCAGTTGCCCAGCGATTGTCGCCGGTATAATCTTGTGAGACTGGTCTGGCGTCTTGTCTCGGGGGGAAGATTTGTCCAATATCTTTAGAACTTGCTGTGCCGCCGCTGCAGCCTTGATGAAATTGGGCAGAGAGGGGGCAACTAGTCCCATCGACGAAGTGCCGATGACAATGGACATGAGTACACTATTTGCGTGTCAGCTGCCGCATATATCTCGCTCATTCGGGGTTCTGGGACTAACGTAACAAGAGTTCCGCCATTGTCGATCTCCTTCCGGTCGAGCAGTCTTACCCCATAGTACAATGCGAGGGCGTAGCCGCTAAGTACCGCAAACCACATATTTCCGTAGATTGATGCCTCGACTGGTCCTCTCTTGATGCCGAAGGCCTTGGTCTTCTCGATGACTTGCTTGTATTGCATTGTGATCTTATCTGCCGCGCCAAGGGCAGTGACGGTGAGAACACTGCTGAGCCATTCTTCAACCATACCCGATGCTTTCAGGTAGATTGTTCGCATTTTCGTCTCGAATTTTGCATCGACAAGGGCAAGAAGTCCAGTTGTCAGGATCATGTAAGGAACGATGCTGGCAGTCACAAGTGTCAGCCTCCAAGATTTGACGAATGCAATGACAAAAGCCGTGACCAGCATGGATATCGATTGAAAAGCGATGGCAACCTTCTCAGCAAGCCCGACCTCGATCAAGTTGGTGTCTGTCGACAGACTTGAGGCTATGGAACCAGCTGTGTGGTGATCAAAGTAAGAAATGGGCTGGTGCAAGATGACTTGAAGGTAGCGGAGACGAATCCTGCGTGTGATGCGAGAAGCAGAGATAGAGTGCATGACAGTGCCACAGTAAGCCATCTTCAGGACGAGGCTGTTAGTATAAAAAGGTATAGAGATAGAGATTTCCCCCTGGATGAACGTACCACAAACTTTCCCACAAAAAGATACAATAGCCAGAGAGTATTTTGATTGACCTTGTGCCGAAATTCAGCGGGCCGGACCACCCCTGTACCCCAGTTGTTGAAATCTTGGACGAAGTCTCCAAGAATGATTGTCATCAAAGGCAATGCTGAACCTGCTGCTACTGCGGCGGCCGCACCGCATATGCGTAAGAAAATGTCAACCAAGCTGGCATAGGTCAAGAGACGCCAGTAGGCTTTCCATGCCGACAGTTGAGTCTTCTGGTTCTGATTTCCATCTTCAACGGGCTCTGGAATCTCGATTTTCTCATCACCGCTCATGACTATGCTCGGCGGCGCGCCGCTAATTCCGCATTTTGATACTTATGAAGCTGATTTAAATTCTCCCCTTGGCCAAGAGGAATTTTGAATGAGAAGTCCTTGCTGGAACGAAGTGAGCGAGGTTCGCTCAGTCATGCTGCCCACGAAATTTATAACATCCATTTAGAACTCAGGCTGCCTTGTAAAAGCCCCGAAGGCAGCACAGTTAAAAACTTGCAGTGGTCTGGCGTGGGCGGCAGTGACTCGAGTAAATCAGGAGACGTTGTAGTGGTACGACTGTCTGCTTCCATCAGGCCATTGGGGAAAGCCCAGAGCCAAGCCAGCGCGGGAGGCATTTGGCCTCGTATGCTAGGTCTCGATCAGTGCAGGATGAAGGTCACGGATTGCTTAGCCCTGTTGCAGACGCGAGAATCAAGTGGGCGTCAAACAACATACTGTACTTGTAACGAAGTAGCGCCTTCGCTTCTGCAGTGCAGGTTGGAGGCATGTCGCCTGTGGCCATGCATGAGAAAATTAGACACTAGTACGGTCACATTGGGCCGCTTGTGAGTACGCTGCAAAATGGAGAGTAAGCAGCAGTACAAGTAGGTTCTTCTGAAGCTGGAGTCTGGGAGAGAGATGAAGATGGAAGAAGTGTTTAGGCAGAGGGCGGATCATGTCAAAGTCAAGTCACCCAACTTTTGGTGCAGTGTTTGACGTATTTAAGGGCATCATCTTGGCAGTGCCCCCCCGTCAAACTGCCCTCCTCGCCCTCCAATCTCCCCAATATTTATGCATTGTTTCTACTTGCAAGCGACACCCCCTGTTTCTGCTACTTTGTGGTATAGCAAACATTCGACTTGCAGACATGTTTGGAGTCTTCATTCCCACCCGGCCCATCATCACTGAGCTGGCAACCGTCTCACCCAACCAGTTTGCCATCTCCTTCCCAGCCTCGCCACCATTCCACAATGTCGGCGTCTTTCTGCACCCAAGTAACCTCCTGCCACCAGGCACAGCTGCCGGAGTCTACATGCAACTGCCCGGTGAGCAGGGATTTAAGTTTCTGGGCGCCATAGGTAATGAAAAGCCCTCAGCCTTGTTCCGCGTGAACCTACCAGACTCCATCGCCAACAACCCTTCTGCCGGACAAGTCAATCTCGGCATCTCTGTGGAACCAGCGCAGAATATCCAAGCACAGATGGCACAACTTCAACAACAGTCACCAACCGCATCGAATTCCACTGCTCTTGTCAAGAGACCGCCGGATACGCGGGTATTGGCCCAACGAATCATCAGGAACGCCTTCAATTTCTTGGCTAGTTTTGCAGGCAACACGGCCAACGGGATTGAAGTCGTGCCGTTGAAGAGCTTTCAAGATTGGTGGACTAAATTCGAGAGAAGGGTGCAGAACGATCCGGGATTTTTGGAGAGAGATGAGGTATAAAGCTTGAGGTCTCGGCAAAACCGGAGCCATGGACGTCCACAAGAATGAGAAGCTCAAGATTGAGGTTGTCAAATTTTATCCCAGGGCCGCTCGAGTTCTTGCCCTGTAAGAACATCTAGTCAAGAAAGGCGGCAGAAGCACCACATACACATCTCTAGCCGTGCGCAGCTCTAACAGCGATCTCCAAAACAGCCACCAACACCACTACCGTCTATCGCTCTAGGCGTCGACGTCCGATCGCCGCAGAAGGCGTGTTGTCTCACCAGTGCATCGACATGATCTCATCCTTGCTCCAATATTTCCGCATATTTTCCGCCCCCAGCATTCTCACCTCATCGTCTAAGTGCGTCCACAACACTTCTCCAAACGAATCCATAATTTCCTTCAACTCTGGTAATCTCAACTCCCTCTCTCCAGTCCGACACCCATCCAAATACTGCTCCAGCTTCTCTAAACCTTCATGGATCTTCTCATGTTGGGTGACTAGGTGATCGTGCACGCCAAAGGCGGGCATACGTTCAGCGAGTTCCGGAAAAACGTGTTGTTCTTCGATTGTATGGTGGACTGTCAATGCGTGGCAGAAATGCAGGCCTTGGGAAATTAAGCCGCGGAGCGACATGCCCGGAGGTCGAGAACCTGAAGTACAGGTTTGATACAGCAGGTTCCATGTGTAGCGGAAATGGTTGTGCTGGTGAGCACGGGTGTTAGTGGATTTCTCCCGAGAAACGTACAACCCGAACAGAGTCTCTTCCAGATGAAGCCGGAAACCAAAACTAACCAAGATCAAACGACCGGGAGAATCTAAACAGACGTTGCGAAAGAGGACAAAGGGATCAAGCATACATATGCATCCATCATGACAGCTAGCCTGTTATACACCCGGAAATCTTGGGCGGAAAGTTTGGGCAGCTCAGGCTCAACAACGGGAGCGTGTGCATCGTTCTCTAGTGGAGGGCTTGTCTGAGGCGTGGCTTTCTGCTGCGAAGTGCCGTCTTCTCGGAGGGGACATGAGGAAGCCATGCCGGCGACAGCGACGTTGGTACTCGGGATGGAGGAGATGGACCTTGTTTGGACGATGCGTTGACGTTGTGGGTCTGTCAGAGAAGATGGTGTCGCAGATATCGTCGATCTCGGTGTCGATATCGAGAGGGTTGAGGCGGTGAGGACGCCGCTTGTAGATCCCGTTTGATACAGCCTTGCAGCGGCAATCCAGACGGGTACTTTGGCGTTGAAGCCTCGGAGGATCGTCGTTGCGTTGATTACTCGTAGAGCTGGCGTAGAGAGTGCGATTGCAATCGCCACCATCAAGATACTGAGAAGTGGAAACGGTGATATCCAGCGTCTCATGCGTAATTAACTGTCTTTGCTCGCTCCGAGGGAGGGACCTGAAAGAACAGGGGAAAACAAAGAAACAAGATCGTCTCCCCTATCCCTCTCCTCCCAAGAATGTGATCACTCGCTGCTCGCCTTCTGTTCGTGGTATTCTCTTGGTATGTCGTACGTAGTCGGTTATTGATTCGCTCGATTGCTCGGTGATAGACGGACGGATGGAAAAGATGGATGGATTATGCAAGTATTACCAATACCGCAGCAAGTCCAAAGACCTCAAACAGGTACACGCATACACATACGCGCACGTCCAAAGAACACACGTGGTAAAAATAGCCAGAGGAAGAGGGTAGGGAGAGGAGAAAGGGAATGAGGCGACGATATACTCCCGCCCGTATATATATTGTCAAACACACCGAAAAACGGACAAAATGGGTTTAGTTACAACAATCAATCCCGCTCTGGTCAACACCCCAATCGCCATCGTCCCGAGCCCTCAAGGCCCCGAGTGCCGGACCAATCCGTGCACAAGCACATGGACCTTTGATGCAGCCTCGTCATGTGACGGCCGGTCGTTCTCGGTCGAGATCTCCGAGGGGCATGGAGGGGCCGAGTGTGGAACGGTGGTGGGTGGGATAGGTGATTTTCGATCGATCGATTATTCATTTATTACTCATGATTTCTTTTGAGATTTTGGTGCCACGGGGCGTTACAGTGTGCACAAGGGTTTCGAGGAACCCTCTGTTCTGTTCTGTTCTTCTTCTGCAAGGATGAGCGAATATCTACAGTATCGAATGAGGACCGAGATATGTAACCAGGGTTCGAAGCCAGGGAAACAGAAGAATCAAAGAATATGAGAACGACCGACCGACCGACGACGATGGCGATAGGGGAGTCAAGAGCAACCCCCGTTTGTGACTAGTGTTCATAAATTCCTTCATTATCCATTTTACATGCAGCGAGGAACGCTACCTACATAGCTAGCTAGCAAGCAGAACTTGGGAAGATTTCGCCCCGGCAGCGCCAGCCCCGTGCATAGTAAAACTAGCCCCAAGCTGTGTGACATGTATTGTGTGGGTGTGACGTGAAGCCTTGGGGCCAGAACGATGATGACCCTGGATAAAAAGGCCATTCTTCTGGGTTTTCGACATTCTCTCACTTCCGTGCCGGTGACTTTTGCCTTGACAACGTTGTTTCGTTCTCCTGTTCGCACTTCTCTTTCTTTTTTTTTTTTTCCTTTAGGGGTAAGGCTTTTTTCTTTTTCAGATTTCGATACCCTTGACCCTGTTTATCCGAAGAGAGCACCGCCAAGTCGGATCCTGACGGACTTGATCTGGGTGTAGTTGGACAGGGCATACTTGCCAAGCTCACGGCCAATGCCAGACTCCTTGAAGCCACCGAAGGGCACCTGGTGGCTGAGCATGTTGTAGTTGTTGACCCAGACGGTGCCAGCCTTGAGGGCATTGGCGACACGGATGGCGGTGTTGAGGTTGGTGGTGTGCACGGCAGCGGCGAGACCGTAGGTGGTCTCGTTGCCCAGCCGGATGACCTCTTCCTCGGTCTCGAACTTGCTGATGGTGCAGACGGGGCCGAAGATCTCCTCTTGCATGATCTTCATGTCCTCGCTGACGTTGGAGAAGATGGTGGGTTGAATGAAGTAGCCTTCGTTGCCGTGGCGCTCACCACCGGTCTCGACCTTGGCGCCGGCCTCCTTGCCAGACTGAATGTAGCTCATGATGCGGTCAAATTGCAGCTTGCTGACCTGAGGACCCTGGAAGGTGTCGGCCTTGAATGGGTCGCCGACGACGTTCTTGGCGGTTCGCTCCTTGAATGCCTGGATGAACTTGTCGTAGATACCAGATTGGACATAGATACGAGAGCCGGCACAGCAGCATTGGCCGTGGTTGAAGAAGATACCGAAGTTGACCCACGAGATGGCGTCGTCAATGTTGGCGTCGTTGAAGACAATGTTGGGGGACTTGCCGCCGAGCTCCAGGGTGACCTTCTTCAGGTTGGACTTGGCAGCGGCTTGCAGGATGGTTCGGCCCACGACGGTCGAGCCAGTGAAGGCGACCTTGTCAATGTCCATGTGAGAGGCAATGGCAGCACCGGCGGTCTTGCCGAAGCCAGAGAGGATGTTGACGACACCGGCGGGGATGCCAGCCTTCTCGCAGAGAGTGGCGGCGAACAGACCAGACAGAGGGGTCTGCTCAGCGGTCTTCAAGACAACGGTGTTACCGGTGGCCAAGGCAGGTCCAATCTTCCAGGCCCACATGAGAAGTGGGAAGTTCCATGGAATGATCTGACCGCAGACACCCACGGCTTCGTGTCTCGTGTAGTTGAATGTCTCTGGGTCTGTGTCGATGGTCTTGCCGTGGATCTTGTCTGCCCATCCACCATAGTATCTCAAGCAGCCAGAAGACAGCTGGACGTCGACCTTGGCCATGGACAGGGCCTTGCCATTGTCCAGAGACTCAATCGCAGCGAGGGTATCCGAGTACTCGTCGAAGAGATCGGCAAGCTTCGTCAGCATCTGACCTCGGACACTGGGGAGTGTCTGGGACCAGACGCCATTGAAAGCCTTGCGGGCAGCCTTGACGGCGATGTCGACATCTGGCGAGAACAGGTCAGCAAGCTCAATCTTCGCCGAGTCACACGATGACCTTCACGCCAACTTACCCTCGGGACCGGCCTCGTGGACGGCGATAATGGGCTTCTCATTGGTAGGGTTGATGGTCTCGAAGGTCTTGCCTTCAACACCCTTCACCCACTTGCCATCAATGTACAAGCCCAACGGTTGCTCATAGGTGATGCTAGGGGTCTCGATCTTTGCTGTCAAAGACATGTTGATGGTGTTAATGTGAAATCCGATTTGTACACAAAAACTGGGAGGGTATCACAACACAGAAGGGAAAAGTCGCAGACTTTTGTAATAGACAAGAGAGGGAAGAAAAGACAGACGGCCACCCGAGGGCAGACTGAGCTTTATTTGAAATACTCTTGCGCGGGGCAGGTCGCCTCCATCAACGCAATGGATATCCACAACACGTCCTCACATTCGCTTTCCTATGGACCGAACCAGTAGACAAGAAAAATGGAGTTAATGGTCCACTGATCCAGAGGTCGAACGGGCAATTACAGTAGATGGACGCTAGAATTCCGTCACCCAGGTTGGGGCGCTTGGCCCTTGCGCTCAACTGCGGGGTTGGGATTCCAGTCAGACAACGGTCTGAGACTGTCAGTGGATCAAAGGAGATCAGAATAGTCAGAGAAGAGAGTCTATAGGGTCGAAGAGGGTTCGATACTCTGTGAGATGGAGTGAGGGGATTGGATGGCGGTGGAGACTAGGGACTGCGGGATGAGCTCCTGCTGCTGTGGCAATGCCTCGAAAGAGGGGTATCGATTCGACTTCTTGTTTAGTAGCAGTGTTAGTATTAGGCTGGAGGGAGGAGCCGACTCGAACTCGTCCTCGATTCCGATCGAGGCAAGGACATGTGCCCGGTCAGCCGTCCTTTGACTTTGGCTGGTCAAAAGGATGACCGGACGAAGGTCCCGTCTGGTGTGAGATCCATTGGAGCTTTGTTTGCTCTCCTGGTCAGATCTTACCTGGCCCCGATGCTAGCCGAGTAGTACCACCGCTATTGATTGAAAGAAACGAGAGGCAAATAGCTCCTTATACCTCACCAAACTCCCTACCTTCCAAGCCAAACCACTGGAATGTTCAATAACAATACGTCGGATGCGAGGTCGAGATGGCTCAGTCATGTCTAGATCGAGCAAGATGTTGCAGGGAGGATCGATCTGATGCGAGTAACGGCGGGATTGCTCCTCTCTTCTCCAGTCAGGAGCAATGGGAGGCGACCAGCATCTGGTGGATCGATGCAGCTCTCTAAACTGACTGGGGACCAATGCTTCGGAGAAAGGGTAGGCGGACGAGATGTGTGTGGCTGCTAGTCGGCTACATGGAGAAAGCTACCTCAGATCTTCCCGTACGAGAACAAGGGTTGGACGGAGAGATATTGCTCCGCCACGTATAACAGTCGATTGTTTAGGATTACCTATCTCCTAGAACGACCGACCCTAGAAAGTGAGCGTGTGCATTGTCACAACAAACGAGAAGCCAAATTTGGGACACGAAAATCTGAATTCTCGCGCCTCCCCCTTTTCCCCTAGTTTCTCTCGGGAAATGCTTGTAGAAGGATGGAGGGGCACAACTATGCATAAGGAGGGGGCATAGTTGCGTCGGACGCGGAGCCGATGTGGCGCACGAAGTTGCCGCAAGTCATGGGGCCAAAGTCACTGTAAAGAGTCTAGTCCATCGCGCTCGTAGTGCTCGACTCGACTCGTTCGTTCCTTAATGCTCTGGATGTTCTGGATCGCTCTCTCTTTCCCTACTTGGTACATGGATGAATTGCGCGGTCGCCGTGGGCTGCAGAATTTCTTCCGGCAAGAACAGCAAAGTACTCCATATTGGAGATGGACTTTTGGTGTACGGAGGACGGATATACACGTCTTCTTTGGTCAGATTTTCGACAAGATGGCCTGCCTCTGTGTTCAATTCGCTGGCCGAGGAAGATGTTGTGCCACCTAGGGATTACTGAAAAGCCGCGTACAGCTCTGGGTACCCTATAGACAGAGGTATTACGAAGTACCTAGTACTGTAGCAAAAGCGTTTGGTGGCATCTTACTTG